TCCATGCCGATTGAACATATTGCATTTATTTGGTCTCAATGACAGAAATTTTTAAGACAGCGTAGACAAAGTGCCCAGTGAGCGCCTGATGTTGAAAAACTATATTTGTACCTTCTACACTTTTAAAATATATTTGAAGAAGGAGCAGTAGGAATTTGGCAGTAGGAAGCAAGTGACAGAATGAGACGTGTTTATAATGAATAGTGAAATCTTGGTTCCCAACGATTTGCTTTTGATTTAGCTTTATTTTGTTTGTTTAATAACAAATTTATCATTTTAGTATTGATTTAAATATCTTCTTCATTAAAGTTATACAAGAATCATTCGACATGGATTACTTTTGAAAGGTTGCTGTCTACAGAGATTTATTATACAAGGTGTAATCGAAAAGTTCGGTGGTTGGTCTCATAATTAAAAAAACGCGCCAATTAGGATCTTGCACTCACGCAAACGCAGTGAGGGAAATGTCATCTAGAGCCATCTAACAGCCATTTTACGACAGATAAGAGGAAGCGCACGCTATGAGCAGTTTAACACAGTCAGTGTGAGAAAGATTGTCAGTGTGACATGGAGCAACGCATAAACATAAAGTTTTGCTTCAAGTTAAGCGAAACGACAACGGAGACATATGACATGTTAGTGAAAGTTTACGCTCAGGAAGCAGTGAGTAATTGTGTTTATGAGTGGTTTAAACGCTTTACAGTCGGAAAGGAGGATATCAAAGATGAGCCGCGGTCTTGGCGCCCTACGACAAACACAACTCCAGACAATGTGGAACGAGTTCGACGGATGCTTGCGGCAGATCGACGACTATCTTTAAGAATGATAGCTGGCGAATTTCAGATAAGCCTAGACAGTGTGAGTACCATTGTGCACAAACATTTGCATAAACGTAAGATATGCGCCCGGTTTCTACCGCACTCGCTGTCAGACGACCAAAAGCAATACCGGATGGAAACCTCTAAAGATTTTATCGACATGTGTGACCGGAATCCGCAGTTCTTGGAAACAATAATTACAGGGGATGAGTCGTGGTGCTATCAATACTAACGCAGACCAAGCGGCAATCCATGGCATGGTGTTGAACACCGTCACCCCCTCCCCAAAAACGTCGTTTGACACAATCCAGGATCAAGACGTTGTTGATCATCTTTTTCGACTGTAAGGGTTTGATCTATCGTGAATTTGTACCCGCGGCTACAACCGTCAATGCGGAATACTACGAGGGATTTTGAAACGGCTGCTGCTACGCATACGCCGGATTCGGCCATAGTACCGGAATGGACAGCGGAATCTGCTCCATGACAACACCCGGTCGCACACTGCGATCCGTGTAACCCAATTCCTCGACAGGCACCAGGTTCCAGTTTTGGATCACCCTCCATATTCTACAGATCTGGCTCTCGCGGACTTCTTCCTATTTCCCCGCCTCAAAGGAGTTCTGAAAGGCCAACACTTTTCCGACACTACTGAGATCCAACAACGTGTGACAACGGTGCTTCGAGCCATACCGAAAGAAGCGTTTGCAGACAGTTTCCAACAATTGTACACCCGATGTCAAAAGTGTATTGTTGCTAATGGTAAATACTTTAAAGGCCAGTAAAGCTATTTTGCTTGTTTCTCTTGTTTCCTTTTTTTTATGGTAAAATTCACCGAACTTTTCGAACACACCTTGTAAGTAGTTACTAGGTTTAGAATGGTAAGGGAAAATAGTTGAATTAAAATAGGGAGTTAACGTGGTATTGCAAACTAAAGGTTGAATTTTGATTTACATATTTTTTTCATTTTCACACGCATATGTTGTACTTATGTATATGTGGTAATACTTTCTAGAAAAGACATCTAAGAAACTACTTTAAAGGACAGCACGTTTAATTACATTTAAAGTATTTACATTTTTAACAAATAAGTTAGTATAAACTGAATTAACTTCTTCAATACATTTTATTTACGTCTTTATCGTCGTCGTTCTTTTACTGCATCTTGAGTTCAACTTATCTAATTGCCAAGTCACAAAACGAAAAATAAAACATTAAAAGAATTATACAATGAGCAATCTGTACGCCATCTGGTATTCACCATTGGCACTACACACACACACACACACACACATATATATATATATATATATATTGTTATGAGTTTTTTATTTAGAGAGGTAATTTTAGTAGAATTATAATTAAAATTGTTGTATTTCTACGCCCAATGAAGCGCGACACAAATTTTAAGATTTCTATAAAAGCTGGAAAGGGACTTACTTGAACTAGATCACTTTTCAGGTTCCGAATGATCTCGTTGGGTAGCTGGCAGAATGTAGCTGCATTCGTAGTCTCTATATGCTTAATTCTCGTTTCATGAAATGAAACTTTATCGGCCTCTTGCATTCGCTGGATATCTTAAAGAAAAGTTTTTAACACCGATTGCTAAGAGCGTTCGTTGTAGTCAACAATGGACATGAATCAAAGACCCGTAGCACCGTAAAACAACTAAACAGGATAATTCAGTTTGATGTATCAGTGCCTCTCAGAAATAACAAAATTTTGATTGACTGACTTTGAGCTCTGTTTGTATATTATAACAGATGTTAACGAATCAACATTTCTGTATTGTTCGCTTTCGTTATGTGGAAATGATGGTAACTTAATCTTCAAATTTGCCATACAGGAGTACGAAGAGAATCAGCCTGCGTGTTTGATCTAGACTCATCATTGAAGAGTCTATCTAAAATTCGCAGGCTGATTTTTTGAAAGAATTATTTAATAATAATAATGTCTAGCTGAAACCAATTATTGTTTTAGTGTTTTTCATTCCAGTGAAAGTTTTATATCTGTGCTAAGGTTTGGAAGGGAATAGTTGCACTTGACCCCTGACATATATAATAATTTTTCCCCTGTGACAACCCTATGCAATTGTAGATAACTATAACTAGTGCTTTACGCCAGCTGTCAAGGCCACTACCCAATTGTTTTGCAAATCTCGCCCATACATGCTCCCTATACCTATCCTGCAGACATGAAACTTCTATCTGTGATTGTTTTTATATCATCGTTCCGATAATTTACTCTCCAATAAAATGAGTTCTTTTTATTCAGTTCCTACTCTAAAAGTGTACAACCATTTTCTACGAGGACTGCAAATTTTAATCAGACCTGCGCACTGCGATCAGTTTTGTTTACTGAGTTGCGATGTTGCATCATATTTTTCCAATGTTGTGAACTGATCAAATTTACGTGTACAGAGAGACTGATTTTTAGTTAGTGAATTCTATGCATGATGCTGATCCGTTTGCGCTAACAAGTACATTTTTTATTTATTTAAAACATATATTCTTTGCTTTTGAAACACAGATGCAATTGAATAGCGTCAAAATCGGCATGCATAGCTATGTTTTTTCGGACAAAAGTAGTTGTTGTTTTCTTTAGCTTTAGTTTTGCGATCGATATGTAAGAAGTCATTAGAAAGCAATTGCACCTATGATGAAATCCTTAAAGCTATCTTGCATTTCACCATGTAGTTTTAATAATCAGTTAACCCTTGAGAATGTAGTTATTTTAGGAGTTATAAAATTATATTTTAAAGCAATTCATTCAGCATTATTTGAATATACGAATACTTAAATCATGGTTTTCCTTCGAAGACTACACTGCAGCATTTCGAAATATTTTTTGAACTACGAAAATATGATCTGAATAAAATTAGAAGTAATTCTGTAGTAAATTGAACTGACGATTATACGTGTTAATTCATGTATTAGTATGCGCAAATAATTTGAAAGTACTGGTATTCTAAGAAACAAATTTATAAGGATACTTATAACCCCCCACAGCTTTAAATTACTGACATAGATATAAAATTTAAAATGTTAATTCATAAAAAATTTATCGCTTAGAAAATTCAGTTTTTGTTTTGAGAGTACTCTGCTATATTTCTTTACTTGTAAGCTGTATCTATTCCTTAGAAATACTGTTGCGATGTGTTGACATAATTCAAATCGAATTCCGTGTATTGAGCTTATATTAATAGCTTATCTGCACATTCTAGTGGCTTTTTGCATTCATCTTTATCTGCATTTTCTTCTTTGTGCTACCTTTATCTGCATTTCCTTCTTTCCTGCATTCTATTATCTACTGTACTATATTTATCTTATGTTACTGTATCCGGAATGTCTTGTTTAGAAGAAACTGAATAAACTATATTTCTGTTCATTATATTTCTGCATTCCTGCTGTATGTGTCTTCATTTACACTTTGCATTACCCTAATTTTATCGATGCCTTACATTTTCTTCTTTCTCGACAGAATATTTACTTTACGATGTCAGGGACTATTTCTTACATGAATGGGTTATGTTTAATCTTGATAATTTGATTTCGAGCTTTAGCAATGAATATTAACATACCAAAAATGGGGAGTTTATTCAAAACTCGCAAATTATTCATCTTGTCTAAAAATAATACTTTGAAAATTCTTTTCGTGGGAATGTACTGATATTTCGCAAAACGAAAAATTCGCATACGATAGTGTCGATTTCAGTGTATGTGGATGTATGAGTAGACCTTAAATACAGAATCCATTTAGATAGAATATTTATTTAAATCGAAGAGAAATGAAGCAATCATTTTTAAAAAGTCACAAGAAAGCTTCAGAAAAAAAAAAGTTTCTTGGTGCGATATAAATAAAGTAGCTCGAGATGTTAATATTATGAGAAGTATGCAAAGTTTTACAGTACGTTATACTGCAAAAATGTGCTCACTTTAAACTAAATTTTTAGCGATTTATATAATCGAACTAGAAATGTTCAAGTATTGTCTCCGTCAAAAACGAAGGTCCATTTGTATTTATGTTTGAAAGATTTGATTTTTTGTTCAAGCAGTGAATTCTGATAAAATCATTGAAAAAGGTATATAAAGTAAAATAATTTTTTTTACTATTCCGCGTCCAGGTAGTAACTGATTTCCCGATACTAAAAAATCTTAATTAGTCTGCGTATTGTTATTCCAGGTGTAACAGGAGCAGTTATGAGAATAGATAAAGAAGGAGATGCAGAAGGCAACTATACAGTGCTTGCCTGGCAACCAACACCTGAAAATCTGAAGCTGAAAGTGCCATCTGGCCATCCGGTACCCCCTTACTGCATGTTGCCAGTTGGACGGTTCCACGCCGAGTCGGGTCAGTTAGTATGTATTTCTTGCAAATCTTTCTTTTTACACTTCTCTCTTTTTTTCTTTACCTTCTTAAAATACAATATTTTGTGGTAGAATAATATTTGTTCCTTAAGTAATTAATTTTCTATCTTTGATTCTTTGACAATATTGAAACTACAGAATTCGACTAACGTATATCTAATTGCCCTTACAATTATCACGCATGAACTTTATTTAATCAGTCATCTTCATAATATATTCTTAATATATTTCTAGTTTTGTTTTGAATTTATATCATTTTATAATATATACTTGCATTTTAGGCTTAATTATTTTCAGAATGGCAAATCCAATAGCATCATATTATCTTCTGCAACTAGAATAAAATCTTCATACCACAATAGTATCTTGGTTATATGTCAGTAATACATTCCATTTCCTTAGACGTATACCAAACGACTTTTCCAATAAGAAATAAAGGGAAAATTAGTAATATGTTCTTATAAAAATGTCCCATTGTTATTATAATAATGCTATATAAAATTAAAATACAAATACTGTTGGTGAAATGAAGCACTGCACATGATACTGTACATTAATATTTTTCTACTATCCAGGTGAAAAGCAATTTTTGAACATATTTCAGCGCCCCTGATCTTTTTTTGGTAACTGATTTCACCCCCTTCGCAACATTAACCGATTTAACAACGTCTTTGTTTCACGGAGTCATAGACAGCGTCGTACTCGCCAGGCGGTACGCGATAGCTAGGTCCTGGATAATGCATGTCATCTTTATACTTTTCGACAATTTATTTTTTCATCTTCATGGAGATCCTAATAATTTATTTCTTTGCATGACTGTTCATTCTAGTGAACTTTCATAAATCTAATTTATGATGAAATTTGGGAAAAGAAATTATTTTACAAACATTTTACCCGAAAAAAATCACTTAAAATTCAATGAAATTTGGGAAAAGAAATTATTTTATAAACATTTTACCCGAAAAAAATCACTTAAAATTCGATGAAATTTGGGAAAATAAATTATTTTACAAACATTTTACCCGAAAAAATCACTTAAAATTCAGACATATAGTGCGGGTTGTTTACTGGATAGAACCAACTGGCTCATGGGTAGTCATACCGTTGTCTCAAGAGAGTTGAACATGCGCAGCGCGCACAACCGTGATTCATCGAACTCGAGCCATATTCCAAACAACTATCTTATATCAAACAAAACTTTTTGCGTCCAAGTATCAAACGCACTGTACACGAAATTGAACGTATACCGAGATACAACTGTATGTCGAAAAATCTATTGGGGCAAAAAGAAGGAATTTCAATGTTTAATGCAAGGTGTCAAATAAACCATGTTAAAAACTTAGTTTCTGTCACTAACAATAAACTAAATGCTGATTGATAGTTGAGCAGGCTTTTCAGACTTACGATGAAACATGCCGAGATAGTATTGCAACATATTCATGTTATCGGCTGCCAGATGGGATACTCACTTATTAAAAAGATCATTATTTAAATTTAGATACTGCCGTATTTCAATAACCTGGTTAATTTTTTAGGCTAAATCAGAAATTTATTTATTTACCCATTGCTTCATGTACCACCAAAGATAAAATACTTATGTTTAACACTTTACTTTTTCTGCTTACCATTATAACTGACAAGACTTCGCACATCATGGCATAAAAGAACATACAAAGTTATGTAGAATCTTATTTGCATAGTCATGAAAAAACTTGAAGCATCGAATAAGCGAAGACATAACGAGGATCATACCGACAGTTCTAGTCACGGTCCGAAACGAAAGACCTGCTACCCCTTTACATGAAAATGAACTAATCACGAAGTGGTACTTAAAACTGCATTACTTTTATAAACACGAAGATGTTTCGACTTCATCAACTTTCATTCTGATGGTCATATGAAAATACTGGCTGTTCTTTCCCCCGTGTATGTTTTCAACTCTTAGAATATGTTTGAACTCTCATCGTCACTAAATTGTTTTTCTTCTGAGCTTAACCAAGCTAGTGTAAACCAGAAATAATTTCTAGATCCAGACATCGTTTCACCATTTAAATTTCGTAAAAAAAGCTAGAAGAGAGAAGGAATGCGCGCTTTAGCACTTAAAGAAGACCGAAACTGTCGGCTTCGCACCTCTTCTCCACACTTGACAAAAAGCTTGTTAGAACAGAACCTGTATTCGTGATGAAAAGCGATAATTCGCGATGAAAATAATTACAGTGCGAGGCTTATCCTGGCACAAATAAATAATAGATATTTCATGAAATTCGAACTGTTGCTAGGCAGCGGCGTAACAAAGTCTTGCTGATATTTTTGTAAATTTATTTTTGTGCAAAAAATCACAGTGCTAATGAAATTTCCTCAGCCTTAAGAATATTTCTACTTGTGTTTAGAGAAATGTATGAAATACGTAACATCATCGTAATGTATTGTTTTTTGGATTATTTTTCTGACATGTATGGACACAACTTCACGCGTCGTTTTGCAGTATATATACGTGTGCATTAAAATCAAAGAAATCATTTGCATTTTTATGCTAAAGTTAGTAGAAATGAATATAAAAACTAAAAACCGAAAGACTAAATTTTAGTACTTGTAGCAGCGGAAGCGAACAGTTAGAAATGGTTACCAGTAAACGCTCACGTAAAAACCTCCAAGAAAGCCTTTTACTAATAGAAGTGTGAGCTAGTTTGAAACCAGATAAATAAACAAATAACTGCGAGCTGAAAGCAGAAAACATTTAATAGGAATCTGGAAAAGATGAAAAATGCAGTATTTCTTATCAGGAGAAGAGATGGCAAGCTGTTCGTTGCTTTTTAATATTTTAAAAGCTACTGTCAGAAGAAAAAAACAAAACAAGTCTCTGATTTTTAAAGCCCCAGTGTTACTATTAGAACTAAATATTTATGGCAGTTGAATTAAAACAAAAAAATAAATAAAATGGTTAATAATATTGATTATTTGAACGCTGTAATTTTCCATAATTAGTTCAGGTATGCAATATTTTGATGAACTTGTTATAATCTCTCGAGACGATTTATTGAATTCCCTCCGAAATTCTTCTGAAGCTTTGACATTCCATTTCCTTCGGAATATTTACAATTATTTCCTTTTATTTTGAGAATTTTCTTCTTAACTACATCGAAAGTAAATTTCCTCTAAATTGTATCAATAAAATTTCTTCAACAGATACATCTGTACTTTGTGTTTTTTCTTGTTTCTTTTCAGATTAAGACATAGTTTCCGATACTTTAAATAATAAAAAGCAGATTTCTCTTAAATAATCTTCTTTTCTACACGTTCGGGCAAATTTATGTGCACTTCTTGTTGTGTAACAACTTCTATCTCAGTTGCTGCTGCGTAACTTAATACAGTGGTCTATGAATGAAAGGAATCGAAATTTATGATAATAGTATTGGTTATTCCATGTTTTCAAAGTTACATTTATTTTCAGTATATTGTATTTTTTATCAGTTTTTAAAATATACTTTGCATATGCAAGGCATCGGTATGAGGCATCGGTATATTTTGCATATGCAAGGCATCGGTAAGTTTCAGTAATAATTCATACTCAAGCCTTAAAATTAACACAAGCCTTATATTTGTTTCATTTATAACTCTATTTTGACCGTATCTGGCCGTTCTGTATTATATGTATGCGATATGTATTCTATATATCCTTTAAAAAAGAGAAATATTCCTTTTTAACAGTAAGCCTTTTTAATTCCTTGTACGAAATAAAGCAAGTATTGTAATCATGAAAAATTCCAGGTACCATATTTCAACGAAAATACCCATACTGACCTCTATCGAATGAAATTTAACGATGTTTTGCGTGACATCTGTACGTATGGGCAAAATAAAGGACTCTTTTTCCCCAAAAAAATTATAAAACTGTTTTAAAATGGATTCAGATCAGATTTTTTCGTACGTACGTGCGTATGTATGCCTCGCACAACTCAACGAGTAGTCTCAGAACGTTGAAAGTTTGTATTTAGAACAGTTATAGGATGTAGTTGTGCATCTCCCTTTTTGGGGGCAATCGGCCGTACCAAAGTAAATAAATATATATATATACATATACTAATCTGTTACTCCACTCCGTGAGCTCAGTTTTTTGTATTCTTATATGCTGGTAAATTGTGCATTTTTTGCTTTAAAAATTATTGAATTATGTTGTTCTTATCTTCCGATTAAGAATTTTATGCCTTTAGTTAACCTGCATGTTATAGTTGTAGAATTATCAACAATTTAAACGTAGTTTCAGTGCAGCTCAGCCTAATTTTTTTTTAACCGTACCACCCATATTTGTTTACATTTGAAAGTTAGCAGAATAGTGGATTTGTTGCCAATCTAAAGAAACTAAGCTTCGCAACAACAACTGTTCCTTTTTTATTTGTCTAATTTCTTTTATACATCGTTTTAGATTTATTATAGTATTTGAATATAATATTTGGCAACGATTAGGTAATTCCTCAGATTATATAATTTTTGCGATTTCTGAGTTATAAAATGAATGAGATGTAACGCTGTTACGTGAACCTAGCGCCAGAGTGTCGCTATGGTAAATAAATATAGTGAATTTTAAAGAGTGCATTTATTCTATTGTGGTTTATGCGCTATCGACGAAGTAGATTTAATTCAATTCGGTAAGTTTAAATGAAATGCAGGAAAAATGCGTATAATTTAATATTCCGTACAAGGAAGTCATGTGGTGTGCACATCAGATTTTTTTGATCAGATGAAACATCATCACATCAGATGAAACAACTCTATATTTCCTAAATGCCCTTAGTCTAAAAATTCTTATTTTTTTAATGATTAGAACACAATAATTGAAATACCTTTCCTTGCTTTCATCCATAAGTATCTAGACTATAGTTATATTTAAAATGACAAACTGGATATTAAATGGCGTTATTACTTAAATTTGTAAACACTGTGCAACACGTGATATATTAAGTAACAGAATAATTTTCCAAGCTTTACTTAAA